ATTCAACTTTCCTTCAACTTAATAAACGTGACGAAAATTTACAAATAATATGTAAAACAAACAAGCTATACAGACCTGATTTCGTATTACAAATAAACGAATAACTAGCGATATGTGACTCAACATGTCATTGTATATCAGTTATAATATTCTAGTCAAATCCATTTAACTGAAATCAGCAACAATTGCTCATCACTATTCACAACATCTTTTTCACTATTGAAGAACAATAGCATTTTTTACTATTGAATCATTTCTGAAATTATTTCCTATCTTATACGAAACATCCTGTATAATGGCTAATACACAAAAAAAAAACAGAATATTTTTTAAGTAATGCAAAATATTCTTTCTTTTCAGCAAATTGGTCAGCAATCTAGTATTATTATGATTTTGTCAACTATTTTCAAAATTTAATAATTATAGATTCGTCCTAAAAGTATGCAAATATTTTTTTTTCGACAAAACCTCGTTTTCATTGTTTAAACTTAAACCTGTATAAGGGCTAGTTTTGAACTCAAATTGGCAAAAAAGAATGCACCATTTAAAATCGATTACGTTTTCATTTTTGTTTGTAATTTTTTTAAAATTCGATTTTTGTGGTCATCGCGTCATACGAATTTTTAATATTTTGAATTCATTATTTAAGTATCAGTCTCTCCATGATGAAATATGATCCAAAGCGGTTCTGTTTGATATTTACTCTTGCATAACGAATAACTCGTGAAGTGTCAAAAATAAAATCATAAAAAACTAAAAAACCAAAAAATCAACTACAGTTCAAATAATATAATTTATTTCTATAATATTTACTTAATCAACAAATAAACGAATTGAATCAAAACATCTAAAATCTAAATATCCTTGCAAAAATATACCGGATATAAGTATATAAACACATTAGTAAGAATAAAAGTCATTTATACTCTCCGCATATATACACTTGGTCCACGTATTCAAAATTGGTTTTATTACGCTGTTAAAAGACAATTTTATGGAATGAATTTCACTTCTTAATAAAAGTTCAAGGAGACAAACAAAATAAAAAACCTTTGAAAATTGATACATGCATAAGCATATTATGTACAGAATTTATAAAAAAAGTTATGGAAGAAAGTTAAACATACTAATATATTTATTTAATTTAATATATATGATTATGAAATCATTTGAAAAACAAGCAATTTTAACAAACCAAATTCACGCAAAAACCAAAAATCGAAAAAATTATGTAAGAGTATAAAACAAATTGTTATAATAAAATAAACTTAATCTTTCTTTTTCGTATAATAAATTGAAATTTATAATATTTAAATTCTAATTTTATTGTATTACCTTATATGTAATAATAATAAATAAATTTTATAAAATAATAATTAATCAGCACAATTCATATAACATACTCTTTATATATTGATGTTTGTTTGTTTTTCATAATATCCTTAGTCTCTTTCTGAGCATGTACTAATATATACAACACATCATTTTATTAAAGATGAACAAATAAAAAGTAAATAAAGGGAAATTTTTCTTGGAAAATATTGTTTTTGTTTCTATAAATTTCCAAAATAAACTGGAAAAATACATTTTCCATAGAAGAAGGAGAAGAAATATTTTCAAAACGCTACAATTTTTTTGCTATACATAGATAAGAACATAGATAAGGAAAATGTTTTCATCTCGTATAATAAAAGTTCATCTTCTATTAAAATATTTTTAACAAAAAAAAACATAAAAGAGAATGAAACAGTCCTAAATGAAAAATTGAACAATGAACAAAGTTATAAATTGTATAGAACATTTTTAAGTTTATTGTAAATCTTTTTAAAATCAAAGAAATTTTTTAACAATTTGAAAACATTTTAGTTATACTGAGAAATTCAATCTTTCTTTGTTATATAACCAAATAACAAAAAATAGTTCGAGCTCGCAAATTTCAAAAATGAAAATACCAAATATTTTCTGATTAACATTCATACTTTGTTAATTAAAAATTACATTATACATATTTTATAATTAGGTCAAAAATTAAATATCCGAAAATATCGAGCATTAAAACTAATTGCTAAATTTTAAATATACACATGTATAATGTGAATGAGTAATCATTGTGATTACAAAATACTTGGAAATCATTGACAATTTCATAACAATCAAGAGTAGAATAATTTTATAAATATTGCTTTCCTATATGTACTCGTATTCACCTAAAAAGCCGGCGTAAAAAATTATATTATGAACCAAAAGCATAAAAATTGTACCCTGCGGTAGTTTTATTTAACATTTCCTAAAAAAATAGAAGACCACAACTTTCCAATTAATCTAGATATCAGGAAAAAATTAATATGCAACAAAAGCTTGTTGCATATTATACAACAAAAGATTAACACGAGAATAATAAAATTAAAAATTAATAACTAAAGAATATTGAGAGATTAATTTATAAATATATAAATAACCGTCTGGCACCGGTAAAAGGAACTCTAACTCATTACTCAGTGTGTGAACAACACACTTTAAGAAGACGGGAGATCTTTTAATTTATGAGACAAATTTTTATCAATTTGATTTCAATTAAGCAAGAATATTAGAATTAGGGCACCAGGGACTGTAATACATTATCTATTTCTAGTTTGCATACTAACGTGAAAGTTCTAAACAGAAAATTTAAAAGCATTTCTTTAATTTCCAACAATACAGTATTTTATATAACACTTCCATATATTGAAACAATATTTCATATAACACTTTTATCTATTCCCAACTACATAATATAAATAAAAATATATAACATATATAGAAAAAAAAATAATATAGCTGTTAATGGTCGTGATCATTTACATAAATTTTGTATAATTGTATACAGCATATGTTATACAGCATACTATAGTTTACATATATATATTATACATAATATTTAGGTACACAAGAATATACTATAAAAGGCTTTTTTCAACCTTCTTTAAAAAAAAATCACTATAATAAAAATGTTTCGTATTCATTTACTTTTCGCCCTCTGCATTAGATTTTTGTTTTTCAATATAATCGCATGTATTAAGAACAAGTATTCGCCTATGCGTTATTTAGTATATGTGTTTGTATATCAAAATTATTTAGATTAACCACTGTTGGCCAATTAATGTTAATTTTCTCAATATTAATATTAATAAATCTACAAATTTATTATTAAATACTTTTATTTATATTTAAATTATATTGTTCCTTTAATATTCGAAGTTCATATCGTAGTTATACTGAAATGTTTTATAATTTTTTGTTAAATATATTTTTATATAACTGAAACAAATACAATTTTTAATTTTTGAAAGACTTTATACTCGTAATACAATCAAACATCAGAGTCCGATTCAAATGATATTTGAGGGAATTTGACTTCAAACCATTTAAGGTACAAGGTTTTCCAAGTTGCTTTAATTAATTCGAATGTTATTCTGGGTATTATTCTCCATCATTGGAAATAAATAAAGTGAATTTTTGAACTCACTCAAAAAACTATTTTTAGTCAATATGTTGTCATAAATACTTTAAATATTCAGAAACAACAATTTATACAACTTTATGTGATCTCATAGGATATCGTTTCGCATATTTTCAAAGAAATCAATAAACAAAATCTTTCTGAGCCACACCTTACTTTTGTTCAGGCTATATAAATATTTGCATAGTGAAATTTAAAAATAAATAAAAAACTAAATCAATTTTTAACTTTGTATATATGTTTATTAATGTATACATACAACTTTGTACATGGAGTCAATATAAAAATTATTTTTATATGTGTACACAGTACACGTATTCATTTTCGTCCTTATTTTCTCTCGTCCTTTGTAACGAAATACATGAATTCTTTCAATTTATGGACAATTTCTTTAAATTTCGTAGATTTCAATGTCAGACAGCGACTATTTATTTTACCAAAATTATGAAATCATATAAATGCAAATTTTTAATTTTTCAAAAATTAGGTATAATTTGAAAAATATAAAAACTGTATTTTGCTTAGTCATTCATTTGTTTTGCATATACATACTTAAATATACAAGATGTCCATATATTTTATACGAAACCGAATACAATAAGCGAATTTTTGCTTTTTTCACATTTTTGAAATTCTCACATTTTTTCTAATAACTCGAAAAATATCAAACTCGAAAAATTTGATTTTCCCTAAAGTTCGAATGCTTGGTATTCTGAAGATACATAAAATAGAGAATCAAGCAGCATGTTTATTTTGAGTCCTTTACTAGGCTTTTTAGACACTATTGTTGGAAGTTTCAAAATGAAAGTTATAATCCAAAAAACTTGAATAAGTAAAAATTTTGTTAAAATTCGTTAAAACCCCTGGAACTCGGAAACCCTTGAGATCCAGCACCCAGTCCGGAACAAAAATTTTTCCCATTTTCGATCTTCTAACTAATAGTATATGTAGTTGTATAGTTTCTGATTCACACTGTATATAACTGCCAACTTGACGTAGCCTCTCTTAAATCAGAGACTCTCTTAAAACTCGAAATATTAAAATGAAAACGTTACTTACTCGTTATTTTGAAACTGATATTCTAACCCTTAATTTTAACTTTTTAATTTTAATTCCAAAAATTAGATAAAAATTTTTGGAATAGAACGTCTACGAAACACTGGACTTTTTGAAATCAACTTATAAATTTAAATATTAATTTTGAATTTACATTGCTTTTATATGTATGATACATTAATGATATAAAATCGTCTACCGGAATAAGTTCCAACTATATACTGCTATGTATACAGATAGCTGGCTATTGCATTTGAGTTTAAAGTGTTTTATTTTGGCGTTTTATTGTTTAGAGTGTTTTTATTCCCATATAAGGAACGCAGCTATTTTGAATGTAAACAAATAAAATACTATAAAAAGAAGTGTTATATGAGCCTCATAATATTTGTTATTGTAATTTGATAGTGTATATAAAAAGTATATAATTATGCATAAATTTACCAACCTCTTCTAAAAATTCCAACTACTTGCAGTTTAATATTTGAATTAAACAATATTTTATTAATATTTATGTTGATTTTTAATATGGAAATATTTTTTAATTTTATTTAATTTAATTTAATTGAAAAATATTTTTTTTTTATATATTATAGGATATTATTAAATATGAGAAAGTTGGATTCATAATTTGTTATTTAATAATTTAATTTCTATAATTTTTATTTGAAAATTCTGTTATTTTATAGATAATTTTTCATAATATTTTCTTTTATATTTCTCTAAATTTTTTTTTTTAATATTATTTAAGTTGTTAAGAATAAAAATTTTGGGCAAGAAAAAAGCACTTTAATTTTAAAATTTTATTATAAATGCGCGCTTAAAACTTTTATAATTAAATGAAAGAGAGAAAATCACTTAATATATTTTTTATGATAAGATTTTGAGAAAATATTTCTAATTTTAATTATAATTATAAAATTTTTATGTTTAATATTATATAATTTATTTTTAAGTATATATTTATTTTAATTATATAAGAATATATTTAATTTTATTTATATATAATGCATAAATTAATTAATTTTATTTAATTTTTTGCAAATTTTTTTTTTTTTATTTATTCTTTAATTCTTTATTTTATATTTATTTCTAATTAATTAGGTAATTAATTTCTTAATTTCCCAATCATCTATACTATAAATTTTTTATAATCATTTTGTTTTATTTTTTTTTTCGATTTAAACTAATTTGTTTTTAAAATTCAATTGAATATTTAAATAAACACATCACCCCTCACACACTGGTTATATATGTATGACAAACGTAATTTAACATTTGAAATATTAAAACACACATATAAAATGTAAATAAATTGAAATTTTATAGACTAATGGACGACATGTTCTTTTTATATAGTCTAATGTAAAAAGAAAAAAAAATTAAATGATTTTCTGATTTTTACGTGTATATATAAGATCATAAAAATAGGCGCTATATACTTATGCTAAGAGAATAAGTGAACGATTAAAGTAAAAATAAAATAAATAAAATCCGGTAATTTTTCCGCGTTTTTTCTTTCCAGTTTTTTATTTTGTTTTTGTTTTTTTTTTATTTTTTCACCTTCTACTTTTCTGTATCCAATTATTTTTAAAATAAATTTGTCTCCTTATATAAAGCAGTCAGGTACTGCAATCATTCACAACATAAATTATAAAGAAAATTTTTGCACCGTTATTTTAATACATCAAATATTAAATACATTATTGTATACCCTTAATTTTATACACATATACTTTTATATGGATATATGTATTTTGTATGTAATGTAGATTATATAAATATTTTTATACTCAAGTGGAACTTTTGAACTTTTTTCATTTTGATTTTTTATTTTTTCATTATCCTTTTGCTTTTTTATCTGCATACATATAATATCGAAGGATCAAAAACAACTGAGAAAAATTAAAAATTGTATTCTAAAGACAAAAGTTCTACTTGTATGAGATAACAAAAAAGAAATTTTTAATTTAAAGGCGAACTGCACCGCACCTTAAAATGTGCAAGCTTGAGAGTTTTTTTTAACTTTATCAATTTTATTAATGTACTTATAAAATTTTTACAAAAAAAAAAAATATAATCAAAATTACTACAACACTATCAACAACTCTAAATTCTTATATTTTAATATTTGATTTTGTTTTAAAAGCATTTTAAAAATATTTTTTTACTTTTATTTCATTTCCACGTAATATGTACACATATATGTAAATAAATTTTTGTTTTTAAAAATATTTATACACATTAAATGACGCACACACACACGCACATTTTAACCATATGGAAAATTATAGTACGAATATAGTAGATATTTTTAAAACCAATAGAAAAAGTAAAGAGGACCAGAAAATATCCTTTAAAAATTAACAAACAAAAAAAAAGAACCAAAAGAAAAAAAAACAAAACAAAAGTAGTGTAAATTTCTTTTATAAGTTTTATATATTACTATATATATATATGTATATTTATATATATATATATATGTATATATATAAATTTTTATTATTGTATTCTGTTTTTTTTTTTGATTTTAAAATAAAAATATAGTCTAGTCTAGTGTTAAATTTTCACGATACGCACGAACTAAATATAAAAGTGAGTTACTCGTATCAATGCTTAAAGTATTCTGATGGGAAAAATCGCTTGAAAGTTGATGTTGTTCTTATATCTTTTTTTTTATTTTTGTTTTTTCGTTTTTTTTTTTTGATTTTTTTGTGGAAAATTTTTCATTTTCGAAAATGAAATAAATTTTTTTTTGTTTTTTATTTTTTTTTTTCAAAAATAAACCAAAAAAAAACACTGAAAATCAAAAGCGCTAACCTATATAAAAATATATAATTGAAGAGAAGCGGAATAAGTAACAACAACAACAGCAACAACAATTAAAAAAGAGAAAAAGAAAATAAAAAATCACGTTAATGAAGAGAAAATTGGAAAATCAAATTCCCGTTCCACATATTATATAGAGAATATCCTTTTAAAATAAAAATCTATTTAAAAACATATATATATATATATATATATATATATATATATTTACATGCATTACCTTTATATACATACATATATATTCAGATATTATTACAATATATATTTAATGTCTTTATATGCACACAGACATACGTACAAAGTTATGGTAAACAAAGAATATGGTGTAGTAAAATTTTCAAAGAATAATATATAGATAATTAACATAGTTAAAAGAAGCAGCATTATATAAAAGAATATTATTGTAAAGCACAATTCCTAAAAAAAAAAACGGCCGACCAATATAATGAAAAGAAATTTTTTTTTCTATGGAAAACAATTTAAAAAAAAAATAAAATGAAAGAAATTCTCTTTCGTTTTTAATTCAATGTAAAATTAAATAATTGTTTTTTTTTTTGTTTTTAATTGCGTTACAAAACGCAGCTCTTTTAAATATTTAAATACCAGGAAAACAATAAAGCAAAGCTTCAAAAGTTACGTGCACGTAACTTTATGAATCCTAAAAATATGCAAAATTTCTAAAATTTTTATTAATAAGAATATTAATAAGAAGGAGAGCAGAGATAACCAAAAAATTAAGAGAAATGTTAAATTTGCATTATTAATGTATATTAAATATTATTAATTATTAAACTTAATTAAATTTTTATTAAATATTGAACCATTAAAATTAATTTAATCTTTATTTACTCTTTGAGTTTTCGTCTTATTTTCTCCTCACTTTATTATTACTCAGCTATAAGTATAATATATATTTTTTAAATATGTATCTTGACAATTTAAGTATACGATAAATGGCAACAGATAATAATATTATGACAAAAATTATCACCATTATAACAAAAATAGGTTCAAAGTGTTGTATATTCCTTGATTCTAGTATAGGAACGCCATTTTATGTAGTTATTCTATTTGAATTTAATGTTATGTAAAAGAATAAATAATAATATTATAATAAGTAGTACTATTAACCATTTCATAGAAGTCAGTTACAGCCTTTCATGGGTCTGATTTGCATATACATGTATTTGATGGAGACAAGATGAATTCATTTTAAATTTTAGGCGATTAGAAAAGAATGAGAGTGTTTTTATATATATGCAATTATTTATCGTGTAATTTGTAAGTAACTTCGCACAAACACGAACAACAACGATATCTATATATTAATATTAATCTATAAGACGCTAAATAAAAAATATAATAGAATAAAAAATATAATTCGATATTTTACAAAGTTTTAAAATTAATAAAGTAAAATATAAAAAGATTGGATAATTAATATTGTATAAATATCAGCAAAACTAAATTAAAGCACGCCCCCCAGAAGTAGAGTGACACTTATTTGCAACTCATACTACTATAATGCAGATCAAACATTAATTGCTCTATAAATAAAAATAACAATCATAATTTCCAATTATTGAGATCAAAGTATTGAGTAACACTACAAATTTACATAGTAAAAATAAAATGTTTTCAGAAGTACCAATTAAAGAAAAACAGATGAAAAATTACAAAAAATTAAAATACTGTACTTAAAAATATTTATCTATAGCTACTATATGTATGCCATATTTTATATACAAGTTATTAAACTATCTTGATTCGATTATAAAAAAATAATTTTATTTCACACAATGTCACAACTATTACTTAAAAATTAAATTTTACAATTACTTAAATTCGAATTGATAGTTTAATTATAATATTCTATTCTTATTAACACCAATTTTAGACTAAATCATATCTTAAAATCTAACAGTATTTATAGTAATTAAAATTAAGTTCATTTCCGGCCTCGTGCAAAATTATAGACGTTTCGTCAGCATTTTTGATGGGAACGATAATTTCGTAATTTCTTCATGTTTAAACATGTTCGATTGCAGACGCTGTGTCAGCAATTTTCATGTGAACAGAAATTAGTATCGTACTGAAGATGTAATTTGATACCACTTGAATATGTAACTAAAGACGGTGATAACTCCTCCCCCTTCAAAGATCTGCGTCCCGTAGATCAAGCTGGAATTTTGGTGCTTCTATGACTGAAATTTGCGGAATCTCTATAGTAGGAACCACTGTTGGAGTGCGTTTTCTCACAACCTTGCTGATGTTTTTCTTGATGACCCAAATGATGATGACTGCAATGATGACGAGTCCTATAGTAATATCGGATGCTATAGAGAGTTGGCTCCTTGGTATTAGCTTCTGAAGTTGTTTTGTGTTGCTGATATGAAGATCGTGAATGTAGTCGAGGCTTAGCTTGATATCTCCTTCTTTAATATTTTCTTGAAGAACAGGTGTTAAAACTTGCGACGTGGTGGCAGATTCGCTTGTAAATTTCTGACCTTTTATGTGAACGGTTTCGTTGGTATGCTGTATCATAAAGCTTCCAGTTAAGTGTTTGCTCGTGTTGCCACTTGTTAGCTCCCCATTGAAATTATTGAGAAAGATGATATTTTCACTTATGGTTTCTATGATTTCTTCCTTATTGTATTGAAGGCTGCAACCGGCGTTTATTCCCTTTAGCAGTTGATACATACAGTGTCCTTCGTCCAGTTTTCGAATTTTACTTCTTTCGCATATGGTGATGTTTCTTAAATTCTCGCATTTTGTCGATATGCCATATACGTCATCTTTCACGAGAAGTTCCTGATATTCGAGGTAGACTTGTTGGGAGTTTCGGATTGTTGATCTCGCTATAATGTGGTCATAGTACTGGTTGCCTGTCTTCGGTATTGATAATATGTAGAGAATTTCTCGTCCATTGGTTACTACCTGTGGTTTTGCGTATTCTATTGCCTCAATTTCGTTGACGTAGGGTA